TTTGCCGGGTGACACTAGGTGGCAGCGTGGCATCACAGTGCCTAACGCTTCCCGTCCCTCAGCGTCTTGTTTCTGGGGTCGTATAGAGGAGTGCTTCGTGTGTTACCGACAAGAAGTTCATGATTTGTCTTCTTTTCCCTAGGTTAACCAGGACGGAAGGATGCTTGAAACTCTGTCCAAAGGAAGGATTATACTAATTTAGATGAAACAAACCCAACGACAGTAGATAGAAGCTTAGGATCAATACCTCATGTGCCCAACAATATATGGCTGCTTTTGTGACCAGAGCCCTATGACTAGAAGGCAAGGCATAGGGAAGTGATGAATGAAGCTTTAATTATGTAGCAGTAGCTGTGCAGCAGATATACAGTTATCCACAGCATGCTGTAAGGAATATTTTATGCATTAAACATTGCCATTTCTGTGCACAAAAGCATTCCTGTTACGTCTTAGAAACAAATGTTTTCTCTAAAGGCAGAAAACAGTGAATCACACTATATTCCAAAGTATATGAAAGAGTTTTAACTGCCATCTAATTTGTGTTGTTTGAATTTAGAAAGAATACTAATTTACTTTTGTCTCATGCATAAACATTTTGGCACTGAATTAATCATAGTTCTGTTATTGAAGCAAGTAGCTTCAGGGCTGATACTACTTCTAACATATGCATGCCAGTACAGTATGCATGGAAAGCATAACCAGAAAGATAACAGAATACAGTTCCTCTCTTCCTAACTATATCTATACCATATACATCAATTTGATACAATCTGTTACAAACTAATTATTAACTAGAAATTGCTACATTTTAATTAACTAATTATTGAGCTGGAAATTAAGAACAGAGGCATTAGCATACAATTCTGCCCATGTGCTTATAAGTAAACATTTAATTATGAAAACAGGAATTAGACTGTGAAATCACATAATTTGGGGAAAAAAAAGACAACAAGGTCTTCCTATAAAGTTACCAATCCTTTTTTAACTTACAGGAGAAAACTCCACAAGTTATTATGCAACTGAAATGTGAAGAAAATAAGTGTTTGGTTTCACTGAAAACAGCATGGAAACAATAAAATGGTGAACAGAAAATTAAAGTTTTTCAGAGCAGAAAAGGTAAAAATACACAAGGAACCAGATATTCCAAACTCACAGTACTTCTCAAAACTACATTACTCGGACATCTTCTCTCCCAAGGAATGTAATTTTGTGGCCAGGTCTCTCCTACCTCCACACGATTTATTGCCCATGCTGCCTGATCCTCTATTTTTCCAGGATGACAGCTGAACAGTGTCTACCCCCTCTGCTGCAGAGACCAAAGTCCCTAGGGATACACAAGCATTTCATTCCTCAGAGACCATGGGACTGCAGCTACATGGAAACCTACCAAGTGCTCCTCACTCTGGGAGAAAGACTAAAGGACACTAGCTTGTTTGTCTGTGCTGTGTTAACCAAACAGAACCTGACCCACTCTACTCACTGTTGTGCTCAGCCTGGATTTAACATGCACAAGGAACACGGTTTTTGCTGTGCTAATGGGACTGAAGCCTAAAAAAAAAACCCAATTATGTATTTTGCATATACTGCCACAACCCACTTGTCGGGTTTGTGTTATATACCACGCACATTTCTCTCTTCTTCATGATAAAGCTTACATAATTTTAAACTAGATTTGAAGAGAGGCAGTCTGTCATTAGACCAAGTATTGTAACTGCAAAACACACGCCAGCTTTCAGGCACAAAGCCCCTCTTTCAAATGGTACAACATTGCATAACCAGTAAGAAGCAAAACAGTAATATAAAATTATCAGCTCAAGAGAAGGTCAGTTTTATATAAATATTTATTTTGATAATTCTTAACTCTCCATTCAGTGATGTTACTTAAAAATACATATTTTAACCAAGATGCTGGTATTTTCCTACTATATGAGCTTCATCATTTTGCATGATGGAGGAAAAGCAACAAACTATAAATGTAGTACAAGACTCAGCTACTACTCATGGCTTTAATAGTGTAGCTATTTCTGCACATATATGTATAATAAACATACTTTGGTTGGTTGATGTACTCATTTGTGTAACCACTGTCAGGATATCTTTACTAGCCCATGAGTGAAAAGAAGAAGTCTTCTCTGTGTTTGGTTCTCCTTTATAAGGAGAAGCAGCAATCTATACACAAGGAACCTGGGGTGATTTCAGTTCCCCATCTCCTCCTGAAATGTTGTGGAAAGATTCGAGCAGCCAAAGTTTGCAGGAGACAGCTGGCAGCTGTTTAACCTGTAATACTCTGTACTCGACCTCCTGTTTCCTCTGCATATCTGTGTGTGCATATATATATATATATTTCATCTAAGTACGTATAGTCCTCATAGCTCTTCTAGAAAGTCCTCCAGAAGAAAAACTGTAGTGCCAGCACTACATTTGACGGATTTTTTTGGCTGCATTCCTCAACCGGGGCTGGGCAGCTGCTCAATCCCTTGTGACAAAGAGCAGTAGCTGCAGCCACATCCCTTCACTTGAGAGGGCAGCTGGAGTTACTGGGCTGGAAGAAAACTCCTTCCCTTCTCCTCTGCAGGTAGGAAAGGCGCCAGTTCTGTCAGAGGGTCTTCTGTGCCGGGTAATCCTTGTGTCCCGCAGTGCTGCTGCAGCCACCCGTCCTTGCATCGGCAGTGCCAGCACAAAGAGGGTCACAGGCCAAGTGTGAGTCACGGCTTAAAATAGCAGCAGGCACAAGACTGCAGCACAAAATGCCATGTGGGGTGGGGGGGGCACGGCAAACAAAAGTGCTATGACTGGAAAAAAAAGGGTATCTAAGCATTGCTCTCATTAAGGCCAGACTGATAATATAGGTTAAAAATGCTGGCATTTTTTTTAATAGCCCCAGCAGTAGAGTATTCCTGTGTAGAGGTTTTGCTTTTTACCTCCAAACAAAGGGTGATTTCCAACAGGCACTGCCATGAGGAGTGAACAACAGTCTGTAAGGAAGTGGGTAAAAATTACTCCCTTTCTGCTCTGCTCCTGTTCAAACAAGAGAGGAGCGTCCTGGGTAACGCCTATGAAGGGGAAGGCAAGATGCAGCGTTTGCATCAGAGGGCCTGACTCATGCTGTGTGAGGAGAACAAGGTCTAAGGGCTACAACATGGCAGCTGCTTGCAAGGCAGGCAGGAGGAAAATCCAACCGAAAGGCGCCCAAGGGAAAGTGTGTAAAGGAAAGGAGTACTAGAGGGAAATAGTTCTCAGGAGAGAACAAGGGAAACCAGCAGGGACAAGTAAAATGGGGAAAAAAGACTGAGACCTATGGAGTCTGGGTTATTTTGGGTGGTGGGGCTTTCCCAGCGGGGATACAGGAGGGGTGGGCACCAAATGCCTGTGCCCAGTGCTGAAGATAGTAATTCTTCCTTCTCACCCTGGGGAAGGGAAGACGTCAGGTAAAAGTGAGGTTTGTCCTCACTGCACTTCCATTGCAGGGAGGGTGGAACAAGCCTTTCCTCACAGTAGAGAGATAAACCTGCGTACTTTTCTCTTTTTACTTTTCTCCGAGGATTAGGTTTGGGTCTGTGGAATAGCAATTACTGCTTTACAACAATTAGCCCGCCTCCTTGGAAGCATTGCAACCACCAGCACAGAGTAACACAGCCTGTTTTAAGCATATTATATAATCATAGAATAGTTAGGGTTGGAAAGTACCTTAGGAACATGCAAGATCGGTACTGGAGCCAGGCCATCGCCATGTAAACTTTTAGTAAACGCTGGATTTACATTCGCTAATTTAGTTTACTTCACACACGTATGACGGGCTGAAAAGAACTGAACAAACCGTGCTGCTACCAGACCGAAAAGCTGCGTTTACCAATATAAATCACAGTGTTTTAAAGTGTAAACACGATTAAGCATTCGCTTCCCGATGAGTACGGGGAAAGGACGGAGCGACTAGATTCGTGAAGCAGGCGTTTGCCGCGATAACGTTACTCCCCCTCACCCCCTGCCCCACGGAACTGCTGTTGTGCAACTCCATCCCAGTCCTTGTCCACCCGGCGTCACATGGCGCACCAGGGCTATGACACGGGGTGTGACAGTGGCGGGGGGGAAGAGCAGGGAGGTGCGACCCCAACTCTCACCGTGAGGACGGCTCGGGGGTCCTCTGCCGCTGGATGTGCTCCCCTCTTGCCCCGAAAAGGCGTGCCCGTGGCTAGCGAGCTACCGCTGAGCCTTACTGCCCGAAGTACAAGAGTCCATCGTGTGCTCTCCCCACCCCGGGGACTAGAGCTCTTGGTACGCGCCGGCAGAACGCGCCTGCGCTTTGCGGACAGGGCGGTGCCTGTGTGACTCAGGCGCTGCCATTTTGAGTGGTCGGTGCCGGCTGCGCAGCTCCGCTCCGCGCTCGCTCCCGTGCCGAGCTACCCGCGCACACCGCGGCGCTGCCACTCACTCCTGCCGGCCGCCTCCGAGGACGTCCCGGCACCGCCTGGGCGAAGAGAAGCTCGCATTAGCTCTTTCATCCGTCTTCCGTCCGTCCCCATCCGCCACTCCGGGATCTCTGTGCCCGCCGCCCTCCGTAGGAGCCACTAGCGCAGAGACCCGTCGCCGTCTCCTCCTCCTTCCGCTGCTGCTGCCGCCGCCGCCGCCTCCTCTTCCTCCTCCTCCTCTTCCTCTCTCCGCCACCATTTCCCCACTCCCCGGCACCGGGGCGCTGAGCTAGACTATGGGGACCAGATTGGGGCTGCGCAGCGGCAGAGCGGGCGGCCCGGTCACCGTGTCTACTGCAGCAGGCATGGGGGGGCTCCGCGGCTTCGTGTCTTTATCTTGACATGGCTCCTCTCCGTGCTGCTAGCAGCGCCGCCGCCTCCACTGCTCCTCCTGCGCCCGCCGGCTGCGGGTAGCGAGCGGGCCACGGGCTCGGTCTCTTGTCTGAGTCTCTCAGTCTCTTGCCTAAGTGTGGGGGGAGAAGTTTTGGGAGGGGTTGCTTTTTTGGTTTTATTTTCCTTTTCTCCTTTCCTCACGAGAGGAGGAGGGAGGAATACTTTTTCCTCCCTTCTCTTAACTTGGTCCGACGAATTTCCTAACCTAAAAACTTACTAACCCCGACTAATCAAACACCAGGGGTGGGGAAAAAATGTCTGGAGAGAGGAGGAAAATAACTTGATAATTGGGGTTTTACTTTTTGGGGGGAGGGTATTTTAGAGGTTTAAAATTGCAACCTAGAGTTGCAGGTTTTTATTTTTAGTTTTTAAACCTCTCAAAAATTCGACACCAAAAACCTGTGTTGCAAGAAAAGCAGGAGCAAAACTCTCCCATGTTTCCCAAGTCGTGACCATGAAGTGAGAGGGGAGACACCGTCCTCCTGCGGGGTGTCCCGCCGCTCTGGGCACAGGCCGCCGGCCTGCTTGCTGCAGCCTCTGCCACTCTGTGTAGGGAGAGGTGTAAGGAGAAGCGAGAAGCGTTGGCCATGCACAGCCTCGGTTAACCGTGCTCGCTGTTGAGCGCAGCAGCAGCAGAGAGAGAAGGATCCGCGGGGGGTCAGCAGCCCAGGAAGTGTGTGAGGTGCTGGGGGATATAGGGTTCTCCCACTGGTAAGGAGCCTGGGTTTGGGGCACTAGTTTGAGTTTTAGTCTCTAGGTGGGATAATACTGTCCCTTAAACCCCTGCCCGCCCCTCATCTATGGCCATCATGATCCCTCTTCTCTTTGGCAGCAGTAGCCGCAGGTCAGTGATGTGCCTGATGATGAGCAGGATGAAGTTAGAAATGAGTCCTCTGTTTTTTCTCTTTGCTCCCCTGCAAGCCATCACTGTGTTGTCTGTAGTTGATTTTGTTGTTGGCAGAGAAATGTACCTCCTAAGATGTGCACTTGTCCTTTGCACCCTTTTCTCTGCTCTCCACCAACTGTAATAATTTTGAAGGGGGGAAAAAAAATAAGGTGGGCAACATAGCAGTAGTGGAAGGCTGAGAATAATAATAATCAGAATCATGGATCTGGCTGGGGTAAAACGCAATTTGTAATTTCAGCTTCACTTTTTTTTTCTTTTGTAAGCAGAGCAAAAGTACCCCCCTCCCCATGGATTCGGCTTGTGCCAGTTGCTTTTTGTTGTACACATAAATTGTGATAACGTTTGTTGTGGGTTGTTTTTTTTTTTTTTTTTTTTTTTCTTACCCACTTATTCCTGCAGTTAAACTGTTAAATTTTTTTTGTCTTCAAAATTCTTAGGGGTTTTACTTCTTGGTTTATTGTAAAATCCCTTCTCCAGGCATGGCTGGACAGCTACTTACTTTGTTCCTTGACCCCTCCGAAAGGCCATTTTTGTAAAATAGTGCCTGAGGTGCGGTTTTGGGTTACATTAGCGTTTTATCTGTTTAGTCATATTAGCAGGAATCAAACGACTTGTTTCTGTTGTACTTGAGTCTTACGAAAAGGTGCCCATAGTTTAGCGACAGTTTCCAAAGGCTTTAGTACCACCTGTGTTACAAAATGGGGGACCCAAACTCCCGGAAGAAACAAGCTCTGAACAGACTTCGTGCTCAGCTTAGAAAGAAAAAAGAATCTTTAGCTGACCAGTTTGACTTCAAGATGTACATTGCCTTTGTGTTCAAAGACAAGGTAACTTAGTTTTAATCTTTTCTTTCATGCTGTGTTGTCTGTTGTGATGGATATTAACTATGCTGTGTAAACTCTTGCTGCCCGATTGCATTTTATGGTTTATCCTTAATAGATTCCCTTTTATTTTTATCATTTTTCTTTTAATCACCATATTTATTTAGCTTATGTTTGTCATTTTGGCTTTTCACATATTTGTAGGTTTGTAATGTAGAGGTGCCAGTGCCCCCTTAAATGATTACTTGATAACTTCTGAATTGGGTAAAGGTTTTTCAAAGTTAATATTGTAATGTATTGAGCCTAATTGGAGTCTGAATTGTGTAATTGCTGGCTGTGAACAGTTGGGTTGAAAAGGGAGATCTGGTTGGTTCAATTGCTAAAGTAACTATCTGGTTAAAGCAGAAGGGCGGAACTGGCAGTTGAAGGGAAGGGTTGTGAAATGCAATAGTGAAATGGCCCAAATGTGAAGCTGCTGCTACCGTTTTGAAAGGGAGCGGGGAAGCAAAAGATGAAGTCCTTGCTTGGCTGCTTTTGCTGCCGCTGAATGCTGTGTGCCTGCCTGTGGGCCAGGGTGGGGAGCCTGGTGGTATTTCTAAAGCTAACTATAGACCCACAGTTTTAGGAGAGTTTCTGTCCACAGATGGTGAAGAAAAGTAGGTGCGTGTAGTAAGAGAATGTGCTGAACAAATGATGAGGAAGTGAAGATAGAAGTAAATGGTAGCAGAGTTCATAATGCACGAAGTGCATGTAGATGAGCACTGAAAGTGTTTAATCCCTTCAGATGTATGGATTTTGCATTTGCTTTAATAGCTGTGTGCTTTTTAGTGATGATTGTTCTCTGAACTTTAATTGAAAGTTTCACTTAATTCTTAAGATCAGTTTGCTTTTGTTCTTCAGTTCTACTGCAAACAGATGGATATAGTGGGATGTAATTTCCTGGCACTGTCAAAGTCAAAATAGAAAAGAAATGTCAAAAATAGAAAGAAATGTGAATGTTCAAGCAGTAGTAAAAATTAGGTTTTCTTAGATGATATGACTCTGATGGTTTCAGCTGGAGCATTAACAGTACTTTCTGGTTGCTTTGTTGAAATTAGTTGCAGATGCCTGTTTTAAATCCTACAGAATTTGCTTATAGTGAACTGAAGATGTCCATCAGTGACAGTTTGCTTAAAGTAGGTGTTTAGCTCAGCCTAGCTTGGTTGTCACAGAGTTGCCCATTATGTATGTTCTGGCCTGTGGCTTGGGGGGTTATTTGATAAAATATGCTTTGCCTGTCATGTAGTTCTTAAATAGGTCAAGACTTCTCATGAGCTGTAAGCTGTAACAGATACTGTCTATCTGTTAGAAGCAGATACACGACTTTAAGCAATTTTGCATGCAGCAGAAACTGTTTTTCCAAATTCCCTGATAATATTTTGGCCTTGCTTGAGAGAGACTGAGATATTTGTAGTGACTATAAAAGTTACTTAGCAAATCAAAATAGTCCTCCTAAGGTTATGACTTACAGCTAACTTCAGATTGGACCTTGATCACGCAGTTACCAGATGTGGCTTTGAAAGATTTCCTTTTTCATAAAAGGCCAGCTTTAAAGTATTGCAAAGGGGGAAAAAAAAGTGTTGCTTGATTTGCAGAGAGCTCTTGGCCTGAAGTAATGTATTTACGTGATAAAAGGGCAGTTCTGTTCATGTTTAGATACAGCTTTACTGTATGCAAGATCGTCATGTAAATCTGCATCTTTGCAGACTACAAAAAAACATGTTAATTTTTTTATAAAAGTTGTTGCACTGATTCTGTTTACTTTCTAAAATTTTGCATGTATGTTTTAGTGGTGTTTGTGTCAAAGTCCTCATTGATGCGATGTGCCCTTCAGATGTGAATGCTAACAGAAAATCACAAATCCCGACAAACTGTTATCTATAGTTGCATAGAAAGGATTATAACCTTCATGTAACCTGTGCTTCTTTCAGAAGAAAAAGTCAGCGCTTTTTGAAGTGTCTGAAGTAATACCAGTCATGACCAATAATTATGAAGAAAATATCCTGAAAGGTGTGCGGGATTCCAGCTATTCTTTGGAAAGTTCCTTAGAGCTTCTGCAGAAGGATGTAGTACAGCTTCATGCACCCCGCTACCAGTCTATGCGCAGGGTAAAGTTCCTCTTCACACTTGGCTGAGTTATAGTTTCCAATATTGTGCTGCTCTTTGAGGCTCTTAAGGCTAATCCTGCTTTTGGGTTGTGTTTTTTTTTGTCTCTTTTGCTGCATGAAGGTTTTGTGGGCTTGTGTTTATGCGGTCTGTTTTGAAGGGTAACAACGTATGTATTCTCAAAGTCTGTTTAAATACCTAGTGCTCAAGCTTTACCCTTCACCTATCTCATTCAGCTATGCCTAGGGAATTATCTCTTCTTGCTATCCTTGTTCTTTAGGTGTAGTGTTAATTCTTGCAACAGCTCTTGCTGCAGAGCTAAATGGTTTCTCATTACAAATATTGGAAGATAGTCTTTGCTAATGTTTTCTTGAAAGTTCCTTAGAAGGGAATTTATGTTAACTGGATACTGATACTAAATTTCAGTGGAAGGTAAGGAAGACTTTTAGTTGGGCTATGAGTAATACAACTGGAGCATTGCACAAATATGGTAATAAATACCGCCTTTCAGTTGTGTGCTTGTGTAGATAATTTGCTGATCTGTGTTTTTTACTAATGGAGGGAATCTAAGTACAGAACTTTGCTACTTACAGGATGTGATTGGCTGTACACAGGAGATGGACTTCATTCTTTGGCCTCGTAATGATATTGAGAAGATAGTCTGTCTCCTGTTTTCTCGGTGGAAGGGATCTGATGAACCCTTTAGGCCTGTTCAGGTAATTATTTTTGTTTAACTTCATTCAGTGACTTGCACTTGGAGGGGAGAATAAGTACTCTCTTCTTAACCAATTTGTTGGCAAAGTTATGCATCTTCTGTAGATGCTAAAGTGTGCTCTCTGTTTATGAAGCAGTCAGTGTTTTGAATGCCAAATTCTGTTTCCATCTTTATGCACTGTTTTTTTAGCACTTCAAAGTTTGTCACTGAAGGACCTTTGTAAATGGCGTGTTTGCAGGTGCATGAATCATGTTAGTATGTGGCTTTTAGTACAGTCGAATCTTTGTCTAAATATGATGGTGTCATTAAGGTTTTCAGAGTATCCCAAGTTGCTGTATTTTATTAAAGAGAATCTGAGATGGATGGAATTCTTGCAGTATGATTTTACCTTGAAATAAATTTCAAACATTTTAGACTAATTTTTTTTTTAGTAGCTAAACTTAGCTGTTTGCATTCAGTTTTTTGAACATTTGTATGTATTTTCTGTGCCAGTTCTGCAGTAGTAGTTTGAAGCAATGTGTGCTGTATTATTGATGCACCAGGAGTTTCTGCCACAACAAGCTAAATCCAGTTTTGCAAATGCAGTTGATGTTGTACCTTTGAATTGTTAGTATGTCATTGCAGTAAGTGATGTCAGTGTTGGCAGAATGAAACTTGGGAGTTCTTTAAATTGTGCCAAGAGTCAAGTGTGCTGTCATCTCTGTGGTCCCCAGTTTCTGCTTTTCATAGACGGGAGAAGGAAAGAAACAAAAGTGGTTGTAAAGCTCCAGATGGGAGGAAATCAGTTAAGTGTGAGCTTTAGTTTCTTAAATGTTTTATTCCCTCATTCACACAATGCAGGCCAAGTTTGAATTTCATCACGGTGACTATGAAAAACAGTTTCTGCATGTTCTGAGCCGAAAGGACAAGACTGGAATTGTTGTCAACAACCCTAACCAGTCAGTGTTTCTCTTCATTGACAGACAGCACTTGCAGGTAATCGCAAAACGCTTTTTCTTCTGGGGAACATCAATGATCTTGCTGCAAAATACTGAAGTAGAAAAGTTGCTCATGCGTTCATGCTTGAATTTCAACAGTCTCAGAGGAAACTTGTGCTATAAATAGGATTAATACATACAAAAATTACCTTTTTTAAAAAATAAGGTTTAAAATAGGTTTAACAGTGGTTTGGAAAAAATAAAAATTGGCTTAACTTGGGTGATACTATAGAAGTGATTCAAGTGAAGAATGAACAGAATAGTGAAAATACTTTAGGTATCAGATGTCAGCCTATTAGTGAGTTCTGGCTGTTCATACAAGTGAAGCAGTGGCTTTTAAATGTCTGTACTGTTCTTCCCAACCAGTGGCAAGCTAAGGATTGGGTTTGCTGGGCATCTGCCTATTAGTCTTGAGTTAACTTTCATGTTTAATAGATTTTTGTCTTTGCCTTTAGACTCCAAAAAACAAAGCTACAATCTTCAAGTTATGCAGCATCTGCCTGTACCTGCCACAGGAGCAGCTCACTCACTGGACAGTTGGTACCATAGAGGATCACCTCCGTCCTTACATGCCAGAGTAAGGTTCTGGCCAGCAAAATGGGGAAGATCACAGAATGCAGCAGTGGATTTTCACTTTCCTCACCACTTTATTCTTTCAGAATTTAGAAGAAAATGGACTCATGTTCAGAACACTATACATTGTGAACCTTGATCATCCTGGATTATTTTTATCATTTGTATCTCAGAACTTTACAATTTTTTTTAGATGTTTTCTGCATGGACCTTGTGAAAGAGAGGATGCTCTGCACCTTCTGCACTGCATCAGCATCTTGCTAAAATGTGAAGGGACTGTACACTGAAACAAATGTATCTGAAAGCACAAGGTGATCATTTGTGGTGGTGTTCCCATTTGTGCTGGTCATGCCCCCTAACATCTGTAATGTTAACCATCAGTATTTGGAGGGTGAGAAGTGAATGTAAGGGCTATAAAAGCCTTACAGCTTTGCTGTTAATGATTGTATCAAAGAGCACTACCAATCATTTTAATGAACAGAAAAGTGGCTATTACAATAGGAAGTAAATGTGGGAAAGAAATCTGTCTTTAGAAAAAAAGGCATCTCGTTTAATGTGTAGGCATTTCTTGCCTCTTTTATTTTGCTGGGCCATGTCTTAAGTTTACTGGCACTTTTGTTTTGGATCTCTTTCCCAAGTTGCTGTATAACTGTATGAAGTATTCTTTCAAGTTGAGTGCATTTGTATGGATGAGGCAGACCAGGAGTCTGAAGTTGCTAAAGCAGCTAAAAATAAAGTAAAATAATAGCTGCAGAAACAATGTTGGTAGAGGATTATTTTTTCTTGAGAGTTGAGACTTGTAAACGTGCAGGTGAACTGTGCAGGAAATACTGGTTTCTAAAACATTTCTTATGGAAAACCCATCGAGGTTTTTGTTTTGTTTTTTTTTTTCTTTTTCTTCTGGATTAGATGTTATAAAACAATGTAAGATAGTGTTTGGAGTGTCAAAAGTTGGTTCTGACAGAACATTTTAAGATTGTGCAATGATAAAAGGAAGACTACTGTATAGTTTTGATGACAAAGAAGGCTCTGCTTAAGGGTTGAGTACTTTACTGGAGTAAAACTGCATAAGCCTGCTCCCTTTGGATAAAACTAGTGCTTACCTGTTTAAAACTTGTATTTAGCTTTTATTTGGAATTGGAAAAAAAATGGAACTTAAATAAATTAGATGAAAGATGACTGGTTGTATTTATGGAGAAATCCTGTGAACTGAATTTTAGTAGTCTTGCATCTTGACAGTATCACCCACTACGAACACTGAAAATATACAGACTTCAAAATGGTATTAACAAAGATTAGTGGCAGAGGTGTTCTTACATATGTGAGTGAAATGTTTGTTTTGAAAAGTAGCTGTGAAACATATCATTAGTGTACTGTTGTATAGCGATATGTCAAAAATATCGCTGACATACTATTGTACTATTAGATTGTGGATATTTCTAGTTCTTTGGTCATAAAGTCTTCCAGGTTAAACTGGAGCACCCTAGAAAAAACACCACCTGAAAGCAGCAACTTCACTCTAAATGCCTTAAGTCACAAATAAATATCTTGAAAATGCTGCTTCACAGAATGTGGAGACTTTCTGGACTATTTAGTAATCAACATACCTGCTGTAATAGTACTTAAAATTTCCCTTCTTTGAATGACCTGTAAGACATAATACCAAGCATTCACATAAAGCTCAAGATGGGTTTTGTAAGGTCCTGTATGTTCAAGTTTCATGAGTTTGGATTTTGCTTTCCAAGTACAATCCCGCCGTTTCTTAATGTGTCATTTTGGACATCATCTCACAGCAGTGAGAATATGGCTGTAGCTATCTTGGTTAGCAAAGGAAATGACAGTAGTTCTTGCATTAGGAGTTTTCTTCATTCTGGTTTCTCTTAGCAGCCTTGAGGTGTTGGCCTGAATGGCTGCATACAAATGCTTTTTACATGTTGGTGGTGGTAAGATTTGGCATCTTTGAAAGGTATCTTTTTCTCTGCTTAAGCAGGATGACTTCTGAAGGAAAAGATTAAGCCTGAAATTGTCCCACTCTTTCTCACTGGAGCTGCTAGTTCAATCTCGGAATATTCTTCTATTCAGTTACTTCAGCAAAATGCCCTTCAGAAGTGAAGGGGAGCAGTTCACAATACCTAAGCTTTTGGTTTCAGGCCCTCTTAGCAGCAGCTTAGTGGCTTTTTGGTAGGCTTTCTTCAGAGCCTAGGTTTTATCTCATGAAACTAACATTCACAAAGCAGTTTGTGACTAAACCAGATTAGTTGGTGGTGGAGCTGTTTGTAAAGAAAAAGCTCTTTTATAAGACAATTTTGGTTATCACCTACTGTTGTGGCTCCTTTGGATATGCTAATAGCAAGAATTGAAATATGCTCTATCTCACCTGAATATGGGAGTTTTGCCAGGCTACTGCTTAAGGATTTGTCATGTCAACTTGGCAAGTGCCAATGGGATAAATTTAGAGGCATGAAAATGAAGTAGGCAAATGCCCATTAAACCTTGCATTGAAAAAAAATGTCTGTTGATGGGAAGCTCGTGTGCTTTCCAGATAACAAGGAGAAACTTAAGTGTCATAGCGTGTACATGGCTGTATAGTTTCCTTTCGTTTGTCAGACCTCTTAAGCTGCACAAGTAGTATCAAAAATACAGCAGGACGGATAGAACTGCTTGTACAAGCGTTGCCCAAATGTAATAGGTCTATAGCTAGTTTGCAGTTGATGCCCTTTGTCATATGCCTCACAGCACAAATTGCTTCTCAAAAGCTATTTTGTTACACTAAAATTGCTGTGTTGATAGATCAGGCACTAGAAACACATTGGGGGTATCAGTGTTTCTCTTGCAAAAAGAAATCAGTTCCTCAAAGCTTCTACTGACCTTTGAGCACTGAAAGCTTTAAATGAAGGCACTGATCCCTTGCTACAAGTTGATTATTAGTTTCTTTTTTTCATATCAGAATGTTCAGCCTATTCAAAACAAAGCTGGTGGAAAGATGGTAATTTTGCCAGTTTCAATTTTCCAGACTTACAAAAGTATATCTCTGAAAGACATACTTGATCCTCTGCTTTTTTTTTTGTTGTTTGTAAATATGGATCAGTCTTCACTACAGGTAGGTGCTCTGGTCCTTGTGAGTGACTGCATCTCTTTGTTGACGTGCTAAGGCATAATGTATTAGCTTTAAAATTACTTTCAAACCTACTACAAGTGCCATAGATTCCTGTTGCTTGTGCGTACTCCTGGCTTGAAAATTCTGCAGGCGTCTGTCCCTGTCTGCGTCTGTTTTGCTGCTGGGAGAACATGGTGTTTTCTGGTGCTCATCACATGCGGAGTCGTTCAGTTACAGTTAATGAACACCATCTCCTGTTACATCTGGATCTCTAGGGGCTGAGAATGGTCACTTAAGGGGGTTTTTTGCTCCTTAAGTGTGAGATTACTCTAATGTGCTATTACAGGCTTCATTTGAGACTACATTAAGATTCCTGCCGCTAGCACAGTAGCTGTTAGAGCCAAGAATTACTAGACTACATTTACATGCATTAAGCAGATACATGCTGTGAGTTCATTTAACTGCCATTTTCTTTTATTAGCCTGGAAAAGCTTCTCCCTTTTTAGTTTTGTACTTACTGCAGCAGCAAATTTGGAAGCTGCATACATAAGCTTAAGATCCTGGAACAGCTTTCTGAAAGGAAGCAGTGAGATAAAGGGTTTTAATACTGTCTTACAAAGGGGGAACAGCTTAGCATGGGTGTTTGAAGAATGGTACTAGCCTCAGTGGTGTTTATTCTGGAAGTCTTTTAGTGGAATTTTTCATTTGGATAATCTTTACATGTAAACCACTCTTTCCCTAACCATAAAGCCAGTGTTATTACTTGTCCCTTAGTATTGCTAGCGCACAGAAAGGATATTTCTGTGTAGGGTTTGGCTTTCATTCTTACTGTCAGGAATGCTGAGGAAGAAATGGCAGTTCCATCTAGAGCAGTAGGTGCTGCTTCCTGACGGATGCACCGCAGTTGTTCATGAAGCTGATGAGACAATATGGATGTGGTGGAAGGGTGCACCAGCTCTACACGTTAACTGAGGCAAGCAAAGTGGTGAGCATAATTCCTCTTCTGCATGGCTGACTGAAATGCTTTTTAGGGCTGAAGATATCTATGACCTACTTCTGCTCGGAAAGGATTTACATATGGAAAGGTCCCTTAATTTGAGCACAATTACTTCATGCTAGAGCACCCACTCTACAAGCTGTTTTTCTGCACTCTTGAAATCTACCCAAGCAGCTACTGCTTCCAAGCAAAACAAATCAAAGATTGGATGCCACTACAGTGGCACAGCCCCGAGGCACTGATTTGGTGAACAAAAGTTAGTTGGTTTGTTTGTTTTCTGGAGGATAGCCAATGTGTCTTGTTTGATTAGAGCTTGCAGGCAATTTACTCTGGTTTAGGTGAGAACTGCATATGCTGCAGTGTCCCACAACTGAGGCAGCTTGGGACCAGGTGATCTGGCAACAGCAGTCATTCAGTGCATGTGTTACAGAATCAAAAAGTAGTAACTGTCATCACCTTGTCCCCGAGCACTTGAGTAACACAATAGGAATCAAAGTAATGTTTTTCTTCATTCCCATGGCCACTGAGGTAAGGGAGAGGTTTTGGGAGTCTCTCTGCTGTTCAAATGGATTCTGCAGATACAGAATTCTAAAATGGTTAGTGATAAAATACAGTTGGAAATTTTTCCATATGCCCTGGAAGTGGCTCAGAGCCAGCCAATGAAGCTGAACAGAATTAAACTGCTGTTCGGAACAGTTACTTAACAGCCTAGTTCTCCCTAGCTGCTTCTTCCTGAGAGCTGGAATCCTTAATGACTAAATCCCTCCTCACAGCACCTTAATCTGTGATGTGCATTTGTCCTGTATCTAGACTCTTGGTTTTAAATTCCAATGGAACAACTGTCCCAATTCCTCATTGTCTCAAGGGCTCTGTATTGCACAGTTGTACCCTGGTGCAAGTATCTGGGTGTCTGCCTGAATGCACTCGTGCAATAGTGAAACCAGCATGGAACGCTTGGCTGACCCGTATGTTGCATGAAGGGAGAAGCTACAGTTACTTTCACAGAGACCCAAACTGTGCCACCACATCACATATCACTATGTGAAAAGTGTGGCCCTCCATAAGGACAGAACTCTAGGCATCAAGGAGTACAGTGCAGGTGTTTGGTATGTTAAAAAAAAATACTAGGAGAAAAAAACAGAGCACAATATAGAGGGGACGGTGTCATTTGCAGCTGTAAGATACGGAGCTTACAGATGTCTGTCAGTTATTGGATATATAACCTGGTGTAAGACGCACAAGATTGTCTCATCAAGCCACTTTATTTGCTTGCTTGTAAGGGAATTATGCCTCAATCTGCAGTGATAGAACCAGGTCAGCTCTGCAGGACATTATTTGTTCTGATGCCAGGTGGAGCTATGTACCATTTGTCCTTAGAACAGTAATTTTTTCCCTTACTTCCAGGCTCAGCTAAGGTAAGATACAGATTTTTCAACATGTAGGTTAGGGTGAAATCAGTAAAGAACAATTCCAAACATTAAGCTTGATGACTGACAGTTTACTCTCAAAGCTATGCAAGCTCAGTGGCAACAATTCCTTCTAAGATCATCTCCAAGCCTAAATTATGTTGTGAAATAAATTAGGTCAACATGCTGCTGCTGGTGGAGAAGTAATAGACAAGGTTGTCTTAAAAGAATCAGTTCAATGAACCATTTTAAAATAACTGGCCTGAATAATAATGATGTCCCTCTTATTAATTAGGCAGTACTAAAACACTGTGCTGAATAGTCTGTTACAAGGGAAAAGAGAATTCACTTGTTACTTCAGGAAGAGGTTGTTTCCTCTCAGCCTGCGACAACCCTTGCCAGGCTTGTAAAGGGAACAGGAGGATACTGTGGTTTCCCTGTTGAGGTTTGCTGCTCTTAATTTGCCTGAACACTTTTAAATTGTAATTACGTAGATACAATGAATGCTCAGTGATAGAATGGGACCACTTAACTATGGTAGGCTCCCAAGGCAGCCAGCTTTGATTGAGGAAAGTCGTGTGAAGTTGCAGTGGGACAGTCACACAAGGACAGAGCAGCCCCAGCACAAGGAGCTGAGAGCATTCAATCTTTTGGCACATATTTGTCACCTCCATTGTTC